ACAGCACGATTCAAACCACGATCAGGTTTTCTCGTCCGAAGAGGAGGTCACAATCCAACGAAATCATGTTGCACCACAGCCCGTGGACAGATTCTTCCTATTTACGTCTGAACTCACTCAAGGCCAACGTGCTAAGAAGCTGGGTGATTTCGTCGCCGATGGCACCACCACGTTTCGTGATCTGTTCGAATTTGGACCCGATGGTGGCGTATGGTGGCTTGACGTCCTCAACCCCACCAAAGCCGAGCTTGCTGTCCTCTGCAGGGCCTTCAAGATCCATCGCCTCACGCAAGAGGATATTGAGACACAAGAGGCTCGTGAAAAAGTCGAGTTGTTCTCTCAATATTACTTTGTCTGCTTCAGGTCGTTCAACATGGACAAAGGCGACGAAGACTTTCTCGATCCAATCCACATCTATATTGTCGTCTGTGCTGATGGGGTGTTGAGCTTCAGCTACAGCCCTAATCCACACCCGAAGAACGTGCGCAAGCGTATCGCGAAGCTTGGTGATTTCCTCTCACTAGGACCTGATTACATCTGTTACGCCATGATCGACGATATCGTCGATTCTTTTGCGCCTATCATCCGTGACGCAGAGCAAGAATCGGAGAATATTGAGGACCAGGTGTTTATTGCGCGCGAGGACGACTTCTTAGCCCTACTGAGGCAGATTGGCGAATGCCGCAAGCGCGTTCTTAATATGATGCGGCTTTTGGGCGGCAAAGCGGACGTCATCAAAGGCTTCGCGAAGCGCTGCAACGACCAGTACCAGATGACGCCTCGTGGCGACATTGGGCTGTACCTGGGCGATATTCAGGATCACGTTGTGACGATGATGTCGAACCTGGGCCACGTGGAGAAGATGCTTTCTCGGTCGCATGCAAACTACCTGGCCCAGCTCAATGTCGACAACATCTTGAAGGGTAACCACACCAACAAAAACCTGGCAAAGATTACGGTCTTGGCCACCATTCTTGTGCCCTTGAACCTGATCACGGGTCTGTTCGGCATGAACGTCAATGTCCCCGGCATGAATACCGACGGCTTGTACTGGTTCTTTGGTATCCTTGGAGGGATTGGAGTGTTTGTCGTGATGAGCTTGTGCCTTGCAAGACGATTGAGAGCCATCTAGCACCTGGGACACTTCTTGCGCTGCTATATGTTCCTTGAGTGCGTGTTTTGTCGTTGTACTTGCTCACTTTGGTGGATTCAAGTCTGGCTTTGGTTAGACACATTGTTAGAGAGACAGAAGTTATGTTGGTACAGAAGAGGGGGATCGGTACGTTGATCTGTTGACGCATTCTCAGAGATGGGATAGAGTCGTGTATAGAATCTTATAGTTTATTGAGTTAGGGTGTGATAGTCATGGATTATATTGAATAGAGTTCAGCCATCCTCTTGTCTGCTTCATGGTCCATACGCTTTCGCGCTATGACAAAGGACTACGAGGATACAGACAGCAATGGCACACAAGCCATCACCGGGTCTATGACTTGTACTTCTGGTCTCGGAACCCTGCGAGAACCTCGACTGTTCCGTCTCCCCGTTCGGCCCACCTCTTGGCCGCAATGTCCGGATTCAGCTGCAGCGTCTGCTTCGCCTTGACCCACTGCTCCATGGTGACGATCTGGTCGAATCTGGGTTTGACGCCGGCCTTTTCCAGCACAGGCGAGTCCGTGATGGGGACCAGCAACGTGTCGTTGTGCGGGCGGGCAAAGTACAGCAGCCCGGTGCGTTTGTACTGGCGCTGGTCCTCGGGGGGCGCGACGACGCGGTGCACCGAGCTCTTGAGCCAGCCGCCCGTGAGGTGCGAGATAGTGTCGGCGAGGTTCACCGTGATAGTGCCCGGCTGCGCCGACACGTACGTCCAGTTGCCGTCTTCGCCGAGGATTTGCAGGCCGGCCACGGGCTGGCGGAACAGCAGCGTCACGGTGCCCAGGTCGGTGTGTCCGCCCCCTCTGCCGTAGTCGCTCGCGGCCCACTCCTCCTCGGTGCGCGGGTAGTAGAGCATGTATCGAAAATGGTCCTCGCTCTTCTTGTCGTACGTGTGCTGTTTGGCCAGGTACTCCTCGTCGGGGAGTTGCAGGACGATGGCGAAGAGGCGCAGGAGCGGGAGCACCACGTTGGCGTGGAGGGCGCGCTGAAACGCCTCGATCTCACCCAGGTGGGCCTTGATCAGGTCGGGATAGTCGTACTTGCCGACAAAGTCCTTTGTGAACTTGGGGAAGTTGAGCATCTCGACGTTGTCCCGCGCTTTGGACTGCAGCGAGCGTCCCGGCCGTCTCCAGCCGTTGTAGTCGGCCTCGGCATAGCGCACCTCGTACTTTTCCTTCTCCGACACAGGCAGCTCGAAGAAGTTCTGCGCCAGCGTGAATTGCCGGTCGACCTCCTCCTGAGACAGGCCAAAGTTCTTGACGTAGAAGAACCCGACGTGGTGGACGGCGTGTTCCAGCTGCTTGGCCAGCCGCTCTTTGCCGCCTGGGCGGCCAAAGTCCTCAAGATCAAGCGTAACGAGTTCTGCCCAGGGCAGATCTGCCTTTGTCACCGGCGGGTGCACGTAGGGTTTGAGATTGCTATAGTCATACTGCTGAGGGTCTGCAACTCCATTGGCCGTTGAAGCCTTTGTGTCAGTAATAGTTGCTGACATGGTTGATATTGACGACGTCTGAGGGTATAGTGTTTATCAGTGGGCAAGGCGAAAAGATCTACCGTGAAGTTCTCGGCGTAGTCAATTGAGAGGCACGATACAGCATCAAGGGGGGCCATTACCAACAATCGCCCTTTATCAGGAGCATTGGAAGACGGTCACATAGTGAAGCGGATTGATTGTGTCAGTGTTTCTCCAAATGTCGCCATCATGATTTCCATCCATGCTATTCGCTCCAAATCTACGATATGCACAACGACAGTATAATCTGCCCATGTTCTTGCATATCTGTTAGATATCAGACCCGACAGTCGACGATACGAGCGTTAGAAATCTGTTATGCACTGCAGTCATCGACCCCTGATTGGTTCTCGACGAACTTCGATTTGTCAGACCTCACGTGTGCATTTCAGTCCTTGATCGGTGTGTCCCGAAGTGAAATGTCCCTGGATTCTGCACAGCAGTTTGAAGAGTCCTCGGAAGGTGGTATTCGCGGAGTCAGTGTACTGACTTGTACTTGTAGAGGATTGTTTCTGGGTTGAGTTAATGCTTATCAGCCTCGTCATATTAGTCAGCTACACGTGACTGAATCATGTGACGAGGCTGTCTTGGCAATAGCCTCACTTCGCCTCCTCATCGCCTGCAATCCAGAACTTCCCTTCGTCGTCGCTCTTTGATGATACTGCTCACTCTGTTGTCTGCGCATCCCTACCATTTCCCTAGCCCACTCCCTGTACCACCACAATCATGCCTCGAGCCGAAGTAGGATCAACGAAGCACATCGCTAACCAGATGAAGGCGAAAGGCCTTCAGCGGTTGCGATGGTACTGTCAAGCGTGTCAGCGGCAAATGCGAGATGAAAACGGTTTCAAGTGCCATGTCGCCTCGGAATCCCACGTCCGCCAAATGCAGCTGATCGGCGAAGATCCTCGGAAAGCTATTAACGACTTTTCCAACCAGTTCCTCCGCGACTTCATACAACTCCTGCGGACGGGCCACGGGGAGAAAAAGGTCAACGTGAACCACTTCTATCAAGAATATATTTCAAACAAGGAACATATTCATATGAATGCGACAAAGTGGAATAGTCTGACCGAATTTGCGAAGTATCTGGGCAGAGAAGGGATATGTCGCGTGGACGAGGATGAGAAAAACGAAAGCAAGACCGGCGCAAGTGGGCTCACAATCAGTTGGATTGACAATAGTCCCGAGGCACTCCGGCGCCAGGAGGCGATTCGAAAGAAGGAACGACAAGACCGAGGCGATGAACTTCGTGAACAACGGATGATAGAACAACAGATCCGCAAGGCAAAGAGTCAAGGGTTGGGAGATGCTACAGACGACAAGGAGGACGGAGAAGACGACGGGGAGAATGTAGGCGAAGGTATCAAGCGAGAGCAGGGAGAGAAAATCGTGCTTGATTTCAAAGTCAAGAAAAAGGCACCCGAGACAACCAACTCGCCAACTCCTCTCCTCTCTTTCAAAAAAGAAACATCGTCCGAGAAAGAGAATGCGCCGACAAAGGGGAACGTGTTCAAAATTGCTCAGAAGAAGGTTATGAAGGAGAATCCCTTCAACAGCTCAAAAAGGCAACAATCAAATCCGCCCCCCAAGGATCCCAACCCGTGGAAGAAGTGGGATGCTTCGATAAAGGACGGTTCCAAGCGAAAAGAGATAACCACATCGGATTCGACGAGGCTAGAGCAAAGTGAGCAAAAACGGCGCCGGCTATGATACAGCGTGGACTGGATATGGTTCTAAGGGCCCGCATACAAATAATCACGAGTGACGACCCCAGGGTGAATGTATAATATGAGCAGAACGACAGGAGTTCAGAGGCTGTTCTCTGGTTAAAGGCTCGGAGATATCAATGATACCAGGCTTGCTTACTGTGGGAAGGGAACCCTGTACTCAGGCATTAATAATCAGTTAAGACAAAAAGCTCACACATTGGCACAGAATGAAGTGCTGTCTTACTGTTGTATTCCGTCGCGTCGCGATCACTTTAGGCGCCCTCTATCTCTATGGCATTAGGTAGGCATCTTATAATGGAGTAAAATAAATCTTCCCCAATGTGGCAGTTTGCGCCTCCCCGGTCCATATCAAAGACCGTGATTGGCCACTACAAACGTGGGTTTTCACACCGGGGAACTTCTTTCACGAAAGAGTATTTAGCAACACACAAGGACGAGAATACACACGAGAATCCAGCGCACAGCGCCACAAGACAGACTACGGTCGCTCAACCCAAGGCAAAGCGGTGCCCTATACATACGAGTGATTCGCGGGCTTCTGCCGCGAGTGTACATCCCTCGTATGTATTGAAGTCAGATCATGAGATGAGTGGTCCAGGATGGCCTCTCTCCAGGGTCCGCGACGACGCAACAATACCAAGAGCAAGAGCAAGGCGAAACCTAAGGCGCCGTCATCTCTGAAATCGACCCGGCCACCCCTCCTCCTCGGCTCTACTAGGGCACAGCCGACAAAGACGACAAAGACGGCGGTACCCACGGCAGCGGCAGCGGCAGCGGCAGCACCTCTGTCCCTCTCGTCAAAACACACCCGCACCCTGATCAACACGCACCATTTACTCCAGAAGCGGCTCGCGCGTGCCCGCGCGCGCGACGACGTCGACGAGGTCCGTCAGATCGAGGCCCAGATCGCCGCCCAGGGCGGCCTGAAGTCGTACCAGCTTGCGAGCCGGACGGGCCAGAGCGCCGAGCGTGGAGGTGATTCCAGCCGTGTGTTGGTCCGTTGGCTGGAGCGGGAACTTGATTCGCGCAAGGATGCTTTGCGCCGGTCGCGGCGTGAGAGACGCGTGAAGGAGGGGAGGGTGTCGAGGACGCAGAAACCCCGGCGGCGGGAGCACCAAGATGATGATGACGACGAAGATGGGGACGAAGGTGAGGATGAGGGTGAGGGCGAGGCAGACGACTCGAATGGCTATGGGAATGATGGGCATGCTCTAGGCACCCATGGGACCCCAGCGAACGTGTCCCCGATCAGAATCCTCGAGATCGGGGCGCTGAGCACGCAAAACGCCCTCAACGTCAAGGGCGTCACGCGCGTGAGGCGCATCGATCTACGCAGCACGGCCGAGGGCATCGAGGAGATGGACTTTATGCAGCTCCCGCTTCCCGGCGAAGGCGTCGCACGCAATAACAGCAGCAAAGGCGCAGTGAGGGACGGCGAGCAGCCACCACAAGAGGGAGAAGGAGACAGAGAAGGAGAGGGATATTACGACGTGCTCAGTCTTAGTCTGGTGTTGAACTACGTGCCGGACGCGAGACAGCGGGGGGCGATGCTGAAGCGCACGACGTTGTTCTTTGCGCCACCGTCATCGTCATCGTCACCATCACCATCACCATCACACTCGCACTGCAAATCACCATCATCATCACCATCGTCACACTCTGAACCACACTCCAACTCCCACTCACAACCTCCTGCTCCAACACCAGTGCCAACACAACTCCTCCCATGCCTCTTCCTCGTCCTGCCCTTGCCCTGCCTCCACAACAGCCGCTACCTCACACCACCACACCTCGCCGCCATCCTCAACTCGCTGGGCTACCGACACCTGCACACAAAGACGACGCGCAAGCTGCACTACAGCCTCTGGCGCTTCGACGGGCCCAGGGCCCGAGACGAGTGGACCCATGGTGGCGGCGACACCGTGTTCAAAAAGAGAGAGATCAACCCCGGAGGGGGCAGGAATAATTTCTGTATCGTGCTGGAATGATGGCGAGCTGGAGGCATAGACGTTCATATACATTCCATTGGGGTCTAGGAAGCGGGCAAATCCTTATAAAAATGGAAGAGAGTGGGTTTGGATTGCCTACGAGTCTTCTCTGTTTCCAGTCCTTCCAACGTCATCCGTCACTTGTCCACGTTGGTCGCTTCTCTTTGCAGATGTGCTCTTCTCCACCCCCTTTCCAGACAGCTAGATATTCACCCGGCCTCTTTTTACATGGTAATGTGTTGTGATCGCTGCGTTGCGCCGTGTTCTCTCCAAAGGAGTCATCGAGCTTTCTGGTACGTTGCCAGCCGCAATATCGGTTGCCACCAATTCAACACCAACTGTGCCCACACAGTAAGTTAACTTCCTTCACCTGATCCCACCCACAGAATTTGCCAAAAAGGGATAGCTTTCGACAATTAAAGCCAGAGACGCCGGGGCTGTGTAGTAAAAGAGCGCCTTCCATGATAAATAAGTCTGTTGATGCTTGCATACACTATTCAATGCGTCCCAGAACGCCGTATCCAGGCGATGTTGGACGTCATTTATACCGAGCCAAGCTGTTGTCGAAAACAAAAACATACAAGCTAGGATGATTAAATCGACACCGTCTTCATTTCTCCCTCGATCCCGTTGACACCCAAGCCCTTCACTTCCGGTTCGGGTTCGGGTTCAGGTTCTTTCGGTTTGTCGTCCTGTGTTTCGTTGTTGCCAGCTGTAAGGACACGGGTGAGTCGAGTGGTGGGAAAGTCCTTTGAATCTGCGCTCTTCAAGGACGCCGGTGTCGAGACATCGACCAGTTTCTCTCCCGTTTGCTTGGCGGCAGTGGCTAGTTGTGAATCGATGGGCGCAGGGGCCGCTCTTTTCTTGCCTTCACTGACAGAATCTTCCGCGGCTTCGGCAAAGTCCCTGACCACATCTCCACCAGGACGAACGGCTTGCGGCTGGGCAATCTCTTCTTGAACTCTTGCAAGGGGGCTGCTGACCGTGTGTCTGGGGCTACCCGCGGCTCCTCGTGAAAACCGGTGAGGCGATCGACCTCTATCCTCGCCCACGACGGGACTGTTATAGGGAGAGTGCCGGCCGTTCTGCGCCACCGAGCTGTTGTTCAATCCTGCTGGCTGGGATCTCCGTTTGGGTCCTCTCCGTCCATATTTCTGGTCTGCTCGCCAGCGCAAAATATCCATATAAGGGGGTTCGACTGCCTCTGTCTTGAACTCTTTTAATTTCAGCTCGCCAGTGTCCTCATCCACAAAGACTTTCTCGGTGCTCAGGTCGTCTGCCACCGTGGCCAGAAAGTGTGCCCACGATCGCGCAACAACATATTTGCAATCGTAGTCTCTTCCGAAAAGAATGACTTGACCCCATCGGCCCATGGGGCCTGGCGCTAGATCGATGGCAATATTGTTACCGCCCCAATCTCTGGCGAGTGCAATCCAACTGGGATGAGCATAAGCCTTCTGAATGGCGTTGGGGGGCTGCGATTCCTGTCGCTCCAGCAATTCTTGTCTCCAGTAGCGATTGCCGTTGGCCTGGCTTGACGAGGAAGAGCCGTTGGTGAGACCCTTGGAGCTGTATGAGGACTTTCGTGCACCGCTCAGATACTCCTCGTTGACAATCTGCCAATTTTTCCATTCCTGGACAATTTCTTCGCAGTCGAGGAGCATGCAGCCGAAAATGATACCAGTCGGTCTGCCACCGCGTTCTTGACCGTCATGGATGGCAAGGGACTCGCGGACGTCTTGCGGTAAGGACATGTTCAGCTCGTGCTCCAGCTCGTTGATGTCGTTCTGCGTACACCCTTCGCCTAGCTGATCCCAAAGCTCTGGATAATTCTTTTCTGCCCAGCGGTCGATCTTCTTCCAGGAGTGAGCCACCGGTGGCGGAGGTGGTGCGCCGTCGGCAAAGTTCTGCATCTGGATCTCGCCGTGGGAAACCACCTCATCGGGTCCAGCGCGCTTAGGAGACGACACAGAGCGCATACCCGGTGAGTATGGTCTGGCAGGTGACTGGGCAACTTGAGTAGAGGAGACTGAGGGTCGTTTGGCTTCATCGTGGTATGTCTGGCAGAGATCTTGGTGCGACTCAATGGCACTGGTTGCGACCGAAGTCAGGGGGGCATGTCGACTTTGACCGACGGGGACGTGTTGACCGGTCCGGTAAGGAGAGTCGTGGGAGGCATGACGGTCATTGGAGGTCATGGTATGCCAAAAGGAGCGCCATGCCGTAGCAAAACTGCTGAAGGAAGTCAGAACAGGCAGACTGGGATCAGGGAGGGAGAGGACTCACGAGTTTGCCATGACTGGCGAAACAGTCAGTGTAGTCGCTGCCACTTTGACGGTTTAATTATGGTTCTAGTTGAATTAGGACATTAACAAGGGTTGACTTTGAACGCGAGGTTTCTGGATCTGGTCGTGGGAGTGGTCAAAACAAAGGGCAACGAAGAACTGGTGGTGGTCGTTTGTTGCCAGCCGCAAACAAGGAAGAATTCGCCGTGTTGACAACGGGATTGGGCGAAATCCAAACAATGGAGATCGAGGTGGTTTGTTACACGAAGCGTGCAGTCCAGTGCAGGTCGTGCAGAGCGAGATAGAGAGGCAAATCGTCAGCGAGAGGTGTCAAGATTAGTTGATTGAGGGATTTGAGGGTCAAAAGTCGAGAGTCGAGGATGCTGAGTATTTTGCAAAGTCCGCAGGCACAGGGAGGGCAGGCACTGGGCCGGACTGGCAAAAGGGGAGCAGAAGGCAACTTTGAACCTTGGGAGAAAACTGGGGGAGATGGGCACCGCTAAAAGCCTGTTACGGGCACACCACATGCACCTGCAGATGACATTTTAGACTCCCGCGCCTAGGAGGGTGCCCTAAGAAAAATAACATGCCTAGTGGTGGCCAAGTAGCCTAGGGAGTTCCACTAACAGCCACCACCTTTGAGCGACCCTGGCTTCTTGCTGGGGGGTAGGGGAGGGGGCCACTAGGATATTCGCTGCAGTCCAAAGCCCGTCAATTCTTGGGAGCCTCATCCATGTTCCCATTGTCCACCTTTCTTCACCGTCAGTTTATTTTATTCGTCTCACACAATCATTTCAATACAGACAAAAAACCTACTCATAAACTCAGGAGTCGCATCACCTCCACAAACGACCCATATGCCGTTTACATCTCTGGCTAACTGCCCCTCTATCATCGGTATCATGAAGTGGTGGAGCAACGATCTTCAGCTGCCCTTATGTACCTATTCGGTATTCAGCTCTTCTGTCCCCCGTCCCTGCAAGCACTGCGCCCCAGGTCTCGACGCGTCAATCATTTCTTTCCATCAGCTTTAGGCATGGACAGTTAGTTTGTGAGGGGACCAAATGGCACCCTGGGATTACGAGCTGATGACGCCCTGCTCTCCCGGTTTCCTCCCTATCTACAAAGACTCGTACACGGACTGCCACACCTCACACCAGTCCGACAATCAATCATAGCACCATCCTGGCCGGTGTGAGGCTCATGCTCCACCTTCACCTTCCTGAAATCGCGCTTCCCGATACGCGTCAATTTACGGCTGCAATCAAGCCTCATGGTGGCCCCGCCCACCGATAGGCTCGAGGTCCGCTGTTAGAGATTGGACGATAACGCAAAAGAGAAAAAGCCTGGAAGAAAAAGGGGCTCATCATACCCAAAACACTCTTTTAAGGGGGATACAACCTTAAGCAAATTGTTTATCTCCCTGCTGATTCGCCATGTGCGAGACCAAAGGAGCAAAGTCGCGCACGTCACGCCCATCCTGTCGATCTTCATCGAGCAAAGTTATGATTTTCATCTTCATTGATCTTCGCCGTGTCTCGGACCCGACTTCCAACCCCTCAACCCCTCGTCCTTGGCCAGCAGAACCTGAAAGTTGCACATCGATAGACCAGGTTTCTCCACGAGCAAACCCGTTTGCAACAAATTCTCCGTTCCATCTTGTGCAACGTGGCCCGCTAGTCTTGCATATCGAGAAACAAGGCGTAAGAGCACGACGGTCTGCTGCAGGTCGATCTGTCCCACACTCGTCATGTTTGTGTTCCGACGATACAACCACAACCACAACCAGCACAGCTCCTCGCGCGAACGTTCTAGGCTGTTTTCTGAGTAGACGATGGTTCTATCGGCAGTTAGAAGCCCGGGAGACCCCTCTTTGCCTTGTTTACCACGCGCCCGGTCGACATCCACATCTATAGTGGCCTCGTACTGCAACCAATCCGAACTGCCAGTTCGCCATGAGGTTCGAGCAGGATCCCTCGCCCCCAAATGACTAAGATCTGTGCATCTTCTCATCAAATGCATGGCCTGTCGTCATGGCATCCTGGGAAACGCTTAGACCAAAGACCATGGTGGTTTGCCCATTACATCTGTTGCCGGAGCAGCCTCATAACCACAACTGACGGGCAGCCAATCGGTAAGTTTTGCCACGCCTAATGCAGGTACACAAGACATTTCCGTGGCCCAGCCTTACGACCAACATGGCTGCGAGATAAGTATAGCATCAGTTCTGCAGCTAAGTCAAAGCTCACCAACCAATCAGAGACGGCCCCGGTTCCCTGTTTTCTCTGTTTGAGAACTGGGCATTCGATGAGCTCAGAGACCCTTTGGATGTATCTGCTTGCGCAAGGTTCCTTCAGTCCAGTTCACCACGCAACGGGGAATCTTGCGGCACCGTCTGAGTATTTATCGAGAAAGTTCTATCGGCCTTGGTACCCTCAAAGGATGAGAGATATGTCAGCCAGTCAGCAACCAACCACTTTAGCGGGATGCCCTACGCGATTCCCTTTCAGAACACCTCTACAAGCCTCACTCCAATCTGGCCCCTTTGCCTAGGTAGGTCCATCGGTCAAGATACCTCAAAGGATATGCGGGCCGTTCGTGGAAAACTGCCGACTACTTCATTCGGCGGTCTGACCCCAACATATTTTCCCCATTCCACACGCGCAGGCCAGAAAGCGTCCAAGGCATGTCGAAGCGAACCATCGGGGCATCTGA